TTATGAAAACATGGAGATCATCTCCAAGATTGGCCATATTCTTACATATTAGTTGAATTTACTCTAACTTACGTTCAGATTTTCCGGGCATATCAACTCCTCTTTTTTTTAAATGACCACTTTGCTCCACCCCTTGTCCTGCTGTACCTACAAACATTTCCTTTCTGCAGACCTTCTCTTCTCTGACTTCAGATGCACTGTTCACACACTTGGACTGAGGCAGAACTCAGCTCCCATTCTTGGCCAGAACAGCCTCCCCAGCTCACGCTCACCTCCAGATGACTGCCCAGAGCACTCCATGTACCCAGGGCGGCCCTGGGATTCACTCCAGGTTTGCTTTGCCTTCACTTCAGCCTCCCAAACCTAGAACATGTCTCGAGTGATAAGCAACATAAACAGGATACTCTTATTTACTGTAATTAAGAAAAATTAGCATGTCAATCTATCACCTGAGCTGCTTCTTGCTGGCTGCATCCATATGGAAGGGAGAAATGTCAGAAAAAAAGCAGGAATTTACAGCACAAATATTTCTGAGCAGACGGCGCAGGAGTGCATCCTGCAGCACAAACTCCTGCTGGATTTAAATACAAGGCTAAGAAAAGTTCAAAGCGCACAATGAAATTCTGCTTTCACACACTATGAAAATTTATTTTTAATATATTTCTATTTAATTTTATATAGTTATGCTTAATATATATTTATTAATTCAGCGGTAACGGACTAATGGAGAACTGCCTCAAGAAGCGAGCCACAGAAATACACAAGTGTGCCACAGCCAAGATACTGAAATCACTTTTGGAGAATAGATGCTTCCTACATCCAACACGAGCCCCTGGTGCAAGGGGAGGCCATCCGCTCATCCTATTGGTGTTACCCAGGAACAGAGGCCAGCCCCCCTTCACCCCCACCTCCCCACAGTTTTAGAGAGCAATGAGGTCTCCTCTGAATTCCTCCAGACTGAAGCACCCCATCTCCCTCAGCTGCTGTGCTCCAGACCCTGCACAGCTGTTGCCCTTCTCTGAACATGCACCTCAGTGTCCTTCTTGTCTATGCCACCATTTCTTGCAGCAAACATTCAGCATCTCATCCAAGACAGACCCACGCGACCAGATGCTGAGAAGATATTCTCTCCCATAAAACAGTTTTTCCATCTCTACTCACTGTGGCACCTTACGATGAATACTGTGAAACGAGGAAGATCATCAACACCCCACTCCAGAATTATTCCATGCTGCTGCTGCAACACATTGGTGGGAGCCAACACAGATGTCACACTTGAACACTCGGACTGGATCCAGGCCGATGTAAACCCTCATCATCAGTCTGAATTCTGTTGACTGTGATGGCGAGAGGGATGTGGCAGGAGCTGAAAACTGAGCTGCATTGGAGCATTCGAGGTTCCCCATATGGGCCTGATGCTCCTGGATGGGCTCACCTCAATTCAGCACAGCTTTGGATGGAGACAAGGCATTGATTGGGAAGGTCTGGACGAAGGACGGTGACGGATATGTTTATGGAACATATTCTAAAATGGATCACTTCTGGTATCATTTTTCTTCCTCTAGTGTAATTATAACCATCTTTAATGTAACATGAGTCTTTTTTGAACAAGGGTATTTATTTCAATTAAGTAGTATAAAGCATCAGATCTAAAAATGCTGTAGGCGATGGATTTGGTTATTTAGAGTTATTCTGTGCTAGAATTACACTGACTCCATGGTCCTATATTATTCTCAGATATTACATGAAATTAGGCACAACAGGGAGAAAGAATCAATCAGTCCTGGCTAAGGAATTGAGATAATAATGACTCATTTGATGGGATTGCTCTGGAAAATTAATAATGACGGTGGTAATTACTAACCTGGGATAGCTGCAGTGCTCATTATTCTCCTTTTACTCTACTGAATGTTAAGTACGATGAAGACATTTGTTGAAAACACAGCCCTGCCTGCAGGCTCTCCATCACAGGAAGGACCCTCCGAAAGGCCTGAAAGCCATCCTCCTTTTGCACTCAGCAGGAAGCAAACGTTGAACCACTGCAATATTTGCTCTATGGCACACGTACATGATCATTTGTGAGAGCTGAGCTCTGCTGCCTCTACTTCTCCTGACCAGGGGACCTGGCCCAGGTGGGCAAAGGAGGGCTGGGGGATGCACTGGGGACAGGGCTGATTTTAATGCAACCGTGGAGAGAGATTGGAATAAAAAGCTGAGTGGGACTAAAAATGGGAGTGCCACACAGCTGTGCTCTCAAACATCTGTTCCACACCCACAGGGTGCACGGCAGCACTTATTTATATCTTAAGTGGATGAGCAGTGTTTGCCTTATGTTGAAGAGCGACGAAAGCGAGTGCCCCGCAATATGCAGGAAGAGGGGAAAAAAGAAAATGTAGCTCTTTAGTAACGCTAAAACAACAGTTCCAACATTGAAGGAAAACAAATCTATAATTTTCTGAACAAGGCAGAGGTTTCCTACAGATCAGCAACCCTCCTTGATTGAGGAATTTTGGACCCCTTGTCAACTTTACTAATTACTCCCACTTTTCTGCTAACAGGTCCTTTCCTAGCTGATTTAGCCCACCACTGCCTTCAGCCCTGTGACATGGGCTCTTCGAGGACACCCTACATTCATGTCACTGCTCTTTTACTTCAGTCCATTAGCACACAACCTTTCTCACCAGTCCAACCTTTTTCTGCCAAGATGGTCAAACAAGTCATTTTTCCAGAGGTGTTTGTGGATTTAAAAACTCCCACCTGCAGGTTTTAGAAAGCCTGAGCATTTTTGTGATCTGGAAACACAAGGCCCTGCAGAGGAGGCTTCTGCCCACCTCCAGCTTACAGCACAGCAGTGGACTTTATTCCATGGGCAAATTCCTTTGTCAGGCCCACCTGCTCTCCTCTGCAACAATTTCTGCAACCAGCGCAGCTCACAGCATCGTCCCTCCTAATGCTCAAACCCCAGTGAGCCATTACTGGGAAAAGTCAAGGCTTTTGCTGTTTACAACCACAGTATCATTAATGCCACTTATGTTTATCATTTCGCCTCATTATTGTTCCAGTAGATTGTTTTCAAACAAGATGAGAACAGCAATGTGCACTGCGTGTGCAATTGTCTGAAATGTCAAGAACGGGGGACGTGAGCTCTGCTGGGGTAAAGGGAGATGCTGACAGCTTTTAGCAGCAGCCCATGCCTTCCGGCTCCTTGTTTAGCTCCTTGACAAACCCACTGTCACCCAGCTTGTCACCATGCCCTGCACACATCCAATTATCCCTGTACAGTGCAGCATGACAAAAGCAATCCATCCATACCATCCAAACAATACACTTGTAGTATAAAAATCCAAATTGCTCTTAAGTCTGTTTTCCCACTTCCAGGCCATGCAGACTGTAGCTCCTTCACTATCCCGGATGGAAAGAGCAGGGCGAGCAGGATTTGGGATGCTGCTCTCTAGGGTTGGTGCTGCCTGCATCAGGTGCTTTATTTGGATAATCTGTGCGGGGCTGAAAAGTGAGCTGTGTTGGCAGAGTCTCCCTGCTGTGTTAGCCCTACCTGCAGATTTAAGAAACGACCACAAATAAAGCTCCCCTCAGAATCATAGATTCATTAAGTTTGGGAAAGACCTCTAGGGCCCCAAGCCCACCTCACTCCTGCCATGCCCACTGCCTGTGGCCCTCAGTGCCACATCCCCACGGTTCTGGAACACCCCCAGGGATGGAGACACCGTCACTCCCTGCACAGCTCATGCCAATGCCTGACAGCACTTTCAGAGAACAGATAGCTTCTAATATGCAACCTGACCTCCCCCAGGCACAACTTGAGGCCCTGCAACATGAGATTTCACAGTATTTAAGAGAAGAGCTTGGCGAAGTTAAATGAGATGTACAAAGTCAGTAGTAACCCAACAACTACAAAGGAGATCTTGTGACCACAAAACTCATCAACACAGCATGGCCAGAGACCTGGTTACCTGTCACAAGAACCAGCCAGTTGCTGCCCTACTGACCTCTCTGTGCTCTGCATCCTAACCCCGGGGAAAACGTAACCTCAGTCACATCGGGCTGCCAGCAGCTGCCCACAAATCATCTACATAAAAAAAAAAACCACTGTGGCAGCAGCACTTGGATTTCAGGGATGCAAGAGCAACGGGGGTTCTCCCGAGGAACTCGGGGGACATGACCAAGCTGCAGTTGTGGCTTATTCAAATGTCTCCCATCAGCATCAGAACGGAGCTGCCTCTTGCAAAACACTTCTCACCATTTGTTTCCCAAAAGGAAAGCACATATTTAAAAAATCTCACTTCAGCTACGAGTACCAAACATTGAAGATATGACCTGAATATGTAGAAAATCGGTTTGAAAGCAGGGATCCAAAGGCAATAACGAGAAGAACTCTCCTCTCATTCAAATAAGCTGCAAAAGGCAGAACAAATGCCTTTTGCAGCTTATTTGAATGACAGGAACGTGTTAAAGCTCATGTTCTGCTCACAGCTGTGCTTAGCTAAAACTGAAATAGTCATTTCTATGGTCACTTCCACCTGGGAGGGTGTCACCTGCAAAGTGCATTTCAAGAGCAAGACCAGATTTAATAAACTTACGATCATGAGTGATTGTAGTACTTGACACGATCCACATCTCTGTGCATTTGCTTCTTCAGCATAAACAGAGGTACCAAATTTCTGTTCAGAAGCGCATGCAAGCTCAGAGTTAATTATTGTAATTATCAATTCAACAGACTCAGAATGCTAATCTATTATAAAGTGGTCTGTTAATTGGTGTTAAACTGCCATTAGTCTGCCATTTCCTATGTTATCAAGCTGACCTGGAGCACAGCAGAGCTGAAAAACCAATCCATTTCTCATTTCTGGCAACTGCTGATTACAGATTTGAAGAAGAAAAAAAAAATCTGCATACTTGGAATTGAAATAGTTATAAGAACAAAGGAAAACATAATTCTGCTGCTTTAAATTACAATCTTTTTGTTACTCATCATGCTTTACCTACACATAATCCTCCAGCACTGCCCACGTGGGTCTGCTTGCTGAGTCCTTCCTCACCTCTGGGGTTTGGTTACCAAATCTGGGTGCCCAGGAGGGCAGTGAACTTCCATTCAAATACACTGCAAGACAGAGAGATGGCATTTTAATCTCCCTTCAGAGCTGCTGTCAAAGCTGCATAACCTAATGGAGCATTTCTCAGGGCAGCTCACCTAGTCTGGGACCACTTGCCGCATCCTCACCTTACACCAGCAGAACACCTAAATGTACCTGCATGAACCACATTTCTCTTTCACTCCAAAAAACACGTGAGCCTTCTTCTGATACTCTTTATTGCCCCACAGATGCTCATCCACAGGAAATTCCCATTTCCTTTAACTTGTAAGGCCCCATTACGATTGAGGAAGCAATCCACGTGGCAAAAAGGCATCCCGTTCCTGTTTCTTGGTAACAGTCAAGCAGGAGGCCAACACCACTTCTGTGCAGAAAACCTACCCCTCAAACCACCCATCTCACGATGTGGCTTCTTTGTCAGCGTCTCCAGCCAAACTGGAAGTCAAATTAATGGTTACAGCAGACGGATACCTCTTCAAAGAGCTGTGGCACAGATCATCAGCACTGTCTGTCAACTTTTCTCCCTCCGTATAGTTTTCTTGGCAGTAGCTGCTGCATCAAAGTCATGCATACCTATGAGAGTTTTACCCATTGTACTGAACATTATGCAGTGGTACCACTGGCCGTGTGGTTTTGGCAGGGATTGGAAAGACATGGAGCCCCAGCTTTTTCTCTGCCTGTTCTATCGCAAGCAGAATTCATTGTTGCTGGGAAACTGTTGCCGGGACATTCGCTGGACATTTTGTCTTCCTTATCTTTTGCTCTTCAAGGCACTACATATTCCCTGTCCTTTATCTAATTCCCTCATTACTATTCTATCCGTTGCTCGCACCTTTATAGTTCCCCCAGTCATCTTCATGTGGTCTGGCTGCCTGATTTCCTGCCACTGACTTCAAATTCTGCTTGAGTGCATATTCCTTTTACTGAAAGGAAGGAAAATAAGCCTGTGCAGATGGAAACCTAGATCTTGTGCTGTTCAGGAAAGCAGGCTCTACATGATTTCTACTAGAGGAATTACTCAGGCTTGGAGAAGACTGATGAACACGATGTCAAGGACAACTGTCAAAATGAGAAATGCCCGTTGTAGTTTTCTCTACGCTTCAGTCAGCCACGTTTGCTATTACTTCACATTATTGATACACACTGACATGGTCCAGAATGGATACAGAGACTTAGCAAAGACCAAAGGCACATTTTTGCTGTTTCAGGAGATAAAGATCTTGCTCAGCACACTCAAAGGGGGTGACTCTAAGTACTGTTCTTTTCGGGAACAAATGAACAAATAAAGAAAAATGTTGCCTTGAGCTGAAATTCATCCTCTATCACTTTAAAGCTGAAATTAAAATGAAAAGATTTTTGTAATGCCATTAAGAAACTGTTTTAGTATATGTAAAAAAATGAAGATCACTCCTTGACATCTCAGACACAACGGACTCATTGCTAGTAACTTAACACAAGCGCTCCTGGTGACAGTTATGGAGAAAAGGGAAACTGGGGAATGCCACAAGGCACAGCATTTGATAGATTTAGAAAATAGAAACAATGCTCAAAGACACACAGACTTTCTGTAGCAGAAGACATGCAAAAAGTACAGGGATCTCATTTGTTGGGTGGTTGGTCAAGACTTACTGTTCAGCAGATGCACATAGTAAGCACATTGTAAGCATGTTTCTTCTGCTCTGAATAAACGTCCTTCCTTACAGGCATTTGCTTTTGGTGCTTAGCTGAAGTGGCTCACTGGGAGATCAGAGGCAGAGAAACTCAGATGGCTGGCTTGCTTCTTCTGTTTCCTTTGGCAAGAAGTTGGGTGCTAATTTAAAACAAAATGTTGGCTTTTTTATGGGGTGTGTGGGCTGGCAGCCTTATGCTTGCAAAGGCATGCAAGGCTACAGGCAATGTTTTTCGGGTTTTGTTTCAGTGAACCCAAAAAATTCATTTTCCATTTTCACCAACCTAAACGCTGTATAGGAGTTAATGATGGTGCCTCAGCTGCTGCTCAAGATGACGGCTGAATTCCTGGGGCCATATTATTTTATTACACCAAGTATCCAGCAACACTTTTTTATATCAGAAAACCACCCCTAGTGACAACATCTATTGCACTGCAGACTCGTGTAAGGAAGCTACTGGAACACTCCAATCTGCCAACTTCCACACTTATCATGCAGTTAATTTTTTCTGACTGCTCCATATGCTTTGCCATCATTAAAGCGGTGCCAGGGCTTTTCTTTCTCATATATTGATTGAAATGATGTATGTTGTACATGCCCTAAGAATCTGCAAGAGTCATTGAATTTTGAGCTCTTCCTCTCTATCTTGGCTCTTCCTGTTGTGATGTTGAGTTTGATTGTGCAAACCAGTACCAGCCCTACTCATTTAGTTTCTTTGTGCCTAGAACTAGCTAATTGGTAGCTCTACCAGGATTTACCCACCTGGACAGGGAGCAAACTAAGGTGTGAATATATGCAGTGCTGCTTCTTAGCAGTAATTCTCTTCATGGGAGCTCCTAGTGTGCCCCAGCAAGCTTGCTCACTTTCCAAGGGGAGTAAATGCTCTGCCCATATCAAACACTTACAGAAACCATTCTCCTTGCATTCTCTACAAAGACAACATTGAAAAGGTAATTTAGATATACAGGGCTTGGGGAGGATCACTTTTTAAGTGATATTTTTCTCCATTTGCTCTTTTTGCTCTCCATTTGCTGTCCATAAGGAACAGTTCCCTAATTAAAACAACTAGTTAGCACCTGCATTGGGTCAAGGTTACCTTCGCAGGCACAATGAAGAGCAGCCAGGGCAGCAGGAGCTCCTGCTCCATCCAGCTGACATGAATGCAGCTTCCAGGCCAGGATCTGTGCTCAGTGCTGGAGCAAGCAAGGCAGCCACCAGGTCAACCCCTGAGCATATGGACAAGGAACTGATGATGAGTGGGAGGGTCTTGACAATCACCAGCTCTACTTATTGTCTAAATTCACACATTTTCCTACAGTGAAGGTAGGTGAGGAGCCCGAGTAAATTGCTAGGGCATATTGTGTACAGCCCATTAATGTAGACAGGTTGTAAAATTGCAGGCTAGGTTGTTAAGAACTGCCTGGCCTCCACAGTCATATTTTTTCAAACAGCAATTTCCTAATTAACAATTTTTGCCCTTTGAAGTCCTGCACTGACAAATTATTTTTTTTCTTTCCTAGCGACAGCAAAATTATTTATCCAATTTCTTCACATAAAGGGCTCATTTTATGTTCTAATGAACAATGGTAAGAACAGAACAAAAGCAGAAAATACACAAAGTTACCCCCTGCCCAGATCAGAGAGAAATTTCTTATCTTTGACACCTGCTGGCAATTAATCCTTGGCATGCCTGAATCTACAATTAGCAGCACTCCTGTGAGGGGTTTGAGCTGCAGTTCCAGCTGCAGTTCAGCGCTGCCCTCTGCCTCCTCGGGCAGTGCCTGAATGCTGTTTGGCACACACATAACTGAAACCTGGCTTGCCCATGTTGGCTTCCTGCACCAAGCAGGAGATTCATTATGCTTTAGTTTTATGCTTTAGTTTTTTAGACTCTGCAGTGAGAGTGGGAGATGCTGTTTCAGCCGACTCACCCGCGGGAGATGGAGGCAGGTCCCTCCCTGCAGTGCAGAGCGATGCTTGTCCTCGTGCTGCTCCTTCACGAGGTGCTGCCATGCCTCTCATCCACAGTGTTGAGCTGGGGAGTTAAACGTTGAGCTAGAGTGCTGGGATGGTAAGAAGGAGCAAAGAAAGGTGTTTTTCTCTTCTTATCTCTTTTGTAGCATCCAAGAGGGAACTTCTCTCTCCCCAGTAACCATTACGGAACCCCTTTGGGATGCACCAAGTTTGCACCCCTTACTTGCTTAAGTTATCCTACATTCATTGATAACTTTTCTGCTCAACAGACATAACCAGCTAAAACTCAGTCACTCCCTTGTGGTCCTTAGTGATGAAGAATTCTTCTAGTTTTCTTGCAACTCTATGTGCCCACTGACCTGCTGCACTGCTCATCCTCCCAAGGTCTGGCTCACAAGGCAAAGAGTAGCTTGAATAATTATATTGGGTAGCAACAGAATATGGAATATGGAAGTCTACTTGGAAAAGTAACTTTCTGTGACATGAAATTAACTTAGCATTGCATTTAAACTTCTACTCTGTCACGTATTTGGCAGAGTTTGAGTCCAGCATTTTGTTGGAGTATGGCAATACCTCCATATCGCCCATCTTCTGATGTTTCTGTGCTACAGAAATGAGTCAGCTGTGCACAGTGTAGAAAACTGAATAGAAATATTGTATAGAAATATTGCAAAGAATACTGTTCTTTGAAGCAGTGGATGGCATTTGAAAGCCATTTAGTTCTTTAAAGAGCAGAACTTTATGAAGTATTTCAAGGGAACTTTAGAGCTATTATTTCTTACTTTGCCATTAAAACCTGGAGGTTTGAAAATTAATAGCTATAAGACCTTTGATGCAAAAATCTCTGAATAAAATAAATTCTGAAGGCTATTTTCACACTGAGTTATATTAAAACTTCAAGTCCCTTGTTAATTCAATGCACATCTCAGAAATTATCTTAAATATTAGGAATAATTTTATACTAACTAACCTAACAAAACAAAACACCATGACTTCTTCAATTTTCTTCCATTCAGACACACATTCCTCAGTGCTTTCTAATAACCTTTAAATCAACATTCTTGGGTTACTAATTAGCATGGTAAACAACAGATTCACCTTTCATGGGTAATTTCATGGTCAAGTGACCCACCTGGGAAAGGCTGCAGGTTTGGCAGCCTGCATACCTGCACCAAGCATCTCTGTCTGACCTTTGTTCTTTAAGCAGCATCTCCAGCAGCATCTCAGTGCCTGTTTTACCTAATTCCTGACAGCTGATTGGCCTGAATCTTCCAGTCACACGTGTAAGGCTTAGAGGAGCAGCCTCACACAGGAGGAAGACATCTTCACCACCACAGCAGCCAGCTGCCCTCCCCACAGAGCAGTCACAGCTCTGGGGCAGCGGGGACGTTTGGTGCACTGCAGAGCAACAATATGCATTGCACCGTTGTCACAACGCATTTCTTATCGTTCTGTTCTCAGGGCAAGTTTCTCTTGTCTCTTCTCAATTACGCTTCATTTGCTTTTATCACAAAATATAATTTGAAGCAGTTGCTTGGCAGATGGGTTAAAACGTTTTTTTTCTGTGTCAAGCAAGGGAAGACAAGATGATTACTGGTGCTGTCCATAAAACTGAGCCCCGTTTTGGTGCAGCACAGGAGATACGGGGGAAGGTTTCAGGCAGGTGGAGAGAGGCTGCATTCCTGCGTGTGCTGCTTTTGTTCCACTGCTGGCACATCAGGGTGGGTGCTACCTCAAAGTTATATATACATAATATATAGCAGGGCAGCTCCCCTCAAGCCTCATCTTGCCCACAGCAGTACCATAGAAACCCATAACCACACAGCTCTGTAGCCCCAGTGTGCCTGCATACCCGTACATTGCAGTTGGATTAGATGATCAAAGGTCTCTTCCAACCTCTGTAATATGAGAATGACATTATGCGTCTAATCTTATGGAAATAAGCTTAACAGCAGTGCATTAAATAAAGAAAATATCATATAGATGGAAAAGAAACAGTGTATTAAAGGAAAAATCTACAAATGCTTTAAAAATTCACCTTGCAGTCTTTCTTAACTGGGCTTCAGCAGGCAGTGATGTCCCCACGAGCTCCAACAGCAGGCGCAGCGCTGAGCAGCCCTACTGCTGGAGGTGGCACAACCTCACCTCGTGGGGACACCGAGCCTGGGCCTGGCACCAAGGGAGAAGCTGGGGTCTGTGCAAACCAACCCTATAATAACCAATGAATAATATTCAGTGCCCCAGTTTTGGCACATTACCATGCCCATCACAAGCTGTGGTGCTGCTCAGGCTGTAGGAGATGACAGAAAAAGGAATCTACCAGCATTTTTCTAGTTAGTCACATAAATAAATCTTAGCTTGCTTCACCTTTTTGAACTGGAAGCATTCAGTGTTATCCCCACTTTGCAGATGAGCTTTGGGGTGGGATCTCCCTCCTTCTGCCATTCCCGCACCATTCTTGTTGGTAACACACACATCTGCTGTGCTCGTTGCAAGTCCAGGAGGTGCAGTTGATGTTACAGGTTCTTAACATAGGCCAGTGCTCTGCCAAAGAGGGCCCAGAATTAGGTTAGTAAGCCACTATTTACACACAGAATGACACAGCCTGGTTTTCTAAAGCACTGAATCCCATCTCAGAAGTTCCCTGGTGGGACACGAAGCTTTATTTTCAGCACTTCCTTTGATAAAGGACTCTCTGTACCATCTTTCTCTGGCTGCCATGAAATTAATTCCACGTTACATAAGCCATTGATGAATAAGCATTATTTTCCATATATTAAATGTGCAGAGACAGGTTTTGGCACTGAGCTGGTATTTAGCGAGGAAGGCCTCAGAAATTGTCAATTAATGCTCCTTGACATTTTATAAGTATGCTAATTTACATTAAACCTACTGCAGGTAACTGCATAAGATAGCTTGGAGTCTCAGCCATAGCCTAAAAAGACTTACGTGTATAAAAGACTCACAAGTATTAGGGCTGCTTCTCATCTTTTTGACATAATGCACATTGTGTATGCAATGTGGTGAAGATGATAAACACATATATAAAACAGGCAATTACCTCAGCTCACACAGACTATCATATTTATACACAAAGCAGAGGCTTCATGTAACTCATTTACTTCAGGTGCTTGAGTAAATACATCATTACAACCTCCATGGCAGACAGCAAGGCAACTACCGAGATCTGTGCCACCACCCTCATGGAAATCGCTGTTCCAACTGAAGGCAGGAGAAGTGGGTCTGGGCATCCCATGGGTCCCACCACTGTAGCCACGCCAGCCCTCTTGAGTAACAACTGGACCCTTCACCTGTTGGGATAACTGCTAATACTGGTTCACTGCATATGATTAATCAGGGGCAATTAAGGGCTAATTAGTCTTTGCCACGCTTGTTGCCATCGCTCACATCAACGCAAATGAGCGGTGGGAGGGGAGGTGAGCCTGCTGCTTTGATTTCCTGTCATTTCACACCCGATTTGATTTGATGCAAAACAGGGGAGGCAGTAAAGAATCAAATCAGAAGAACCATTTGAACTCAAGGATTATGAGAACGCGTCGCTCAAAATGCAGCATCTCCCAGACTGGCAGTTAAGCTGGTCTCAGCTGCCTGACTGCATCCTGAGCACATAAGGGCCACATGCACACATCTGTGCCACGACTGCACAGTCACTTCTAGGTGGATGTTTAGCAAACGCAGATTCTGACAGACATTTCCTGAAATCTGAAACATTTTTGGATTATAATCATTGCCCATACTGTTCCACCAAGATTATAAGCAGCTACTGTAGGAAATAAAATGCACAGTTTAAAAACAAATGAAAAAATCGTGGGAAGCGATAACAAGTTGCACAAGCGTGCTAAGAAAATCCAAAAGGGAAGAGCTGTTCTACAGTACCACAGGTGAAACTTTGATGTTGTACCAATTTGGGGAAGGGAAAAGCAGGGATAAATTAAGCACTTCACTCTGGAAGTAAATTTTAAAGTAATGAGATTACAACATCTCCCGGTAGCACTGTTCTATGGCAGCAAACGCTAAAATTGATAGCGACCATCAATGGTTCCATTTCATAACTCAGCCACAGGAATCTGCTTTTCTCCTTCAGCCAAGAGACAGCCACAACTAACCTGGATAGCATTTCCTAACCTGGCGTTTCCAAGAACTGCTCGTTACTATGGACAAAGAACAACATGGCCTCACAGGCTGTGCTACGGTATCGTTACTCTGTGGAAAGGACGAAGCTT